AAGAGTGTGAGCTTCCTAATTAAAAGGAGCTAAATGCAACACACCTGGGAACACACTCTCAGGCAGAGGACAAACAGTTCCCTGTGAGAGAGGAGAAGAGACTCAAGGATTCAACCAAGATGCTGCTGGTGAATATTTGCAAATGTTTAATCTGTTTGAACCATGTTTGATTTGATGTATTATTATTTCTAGTCCTGAGGAAAGAAGCTAAAATATAAGATGCTGAAATATAATTTACTTTGTTGAAATGCATTTATTTTTGATTAAATGTTAAATTTAATTGTAAATTAAGAAATGAAAGTGCTTGTTGAAAGATGGCATGTTTTTAGTTGAAAATGTTTATGTACCTAAAGTGAACGAAAGTAATGTTTTGTGTTAAAGTTTTTCAACCTGAATGAGCATCAAGAGGCCAACAAGAGGCTATTGAAGCAATAAGGAATCTACCACAATCAAATAAAGAGAAAAAAGATTCAAATTCAAGTTGTCCCATGTGTCCTTCTGGAGTGAATCAAGCCATTTTCAAGTTTAGGGAGGAGTCAATAAAACAAACCAAATCACAACTTGACACTATTGGACTCATTTAATTGGTCGACCATTATTTATCAATAGAAAAAAGTTGCTCTATAATGGTAATGTGTAAAAAAAAAAAGACTGACACTAACAAAATCATCAAAACAACCTTAAATGGTTAATGTTATGCAACGTAATGGCAAGTGTTCATGACATTGGGATGTAATATCTGAAGAACTTAATTTATATTACCTCTTCAAATTTCTTGGCCTTGTACTGCTCCGCTCCTTTCAGGAAGTTCAGCAGAATGATGTCACACAACACCGTGCCCTTCATAATAATAGAGATACCATTTTAAATAGATAGTCCAGCAACAAGCCCACTTTCCCTCAAAGAAAATGTTTTAAAATTCAACTAAATTCACAGTCAAGCTTCAGCGGAATGGGAGGACAGTGTGTGAGGTAAGTACAACAAAGCTCACATTGTACTTGAGATAAAACTTAAAATCAGAGATGAAATGGTAATGTAAGATTATTCTGGGAATAATAACTGGTGTATGATGAGCTTTGGTTACATGTGGGACAGCAGTAAACTCACCACTCCCACTGACGTGAAGGCGGCCACCATGTTGATGAGTGTCGGGATCATGTTGAACTTGCCTGCCTACGAAGAACACATAATCCAATAATAATATGTGAGCAGGTATCAGTATCATGGTACTTTATAGATGTAGTGGTACAACAAATATTCCTATGCATAATATCTCTTAAGTCTACAAAGTCAGTCTTAATGTGAGTTTCCAATTCAAGGACCCCAGATTTGATATGATAACGTTAATGGTACCTGTTAATTAATCAAGCTTAAATTCAAATCTGCTATCTGTTCATGCCTAACATGACCTTTGTAATAACGAAAATATGTTAAGATTTAAAAGTATTAAAGTATAAAAAGTGGTGCGAACTAATATTTTTAGACTTTTCATGTTGAGATTTCAAAACGACTACATATAGTTAAAAGTACACAAGTGTTGATACACAGTCAGATATAAACTCACATTTCCATTGACCAGAACATCAAACCTAATGGCATAGGCTTTAACTAGAGTGCGGTATTCCGTTCCATTGTCCATCTTAAAGTATTTGGCAAACCTGTACAGACAGAGCAATCTCAGAATTTTTATATTAAAGAAAACACTGTAAAGTGTCAGTTTGCAAGTGAGGAGCATTTGATCTGTTGTCATAGAAACAAAATCAGAACTGTAAATGGTTATCTATAACTCACAATTGAAAGCATATATAAAATCACTTTGCAAAGGGTCCAGAATGCACACAGATTTTATCTGTAATTGCATCAATGATCAAAAAATTATTGTTTTTATGAAAGATCTTTGAAGCCATGCATATCCACAGCAAAGGTCATGCATATGCCCCTGTGTTCATATCTTGTGTACAAAAATGAGTTGTGTAGTGGAGTTCTCGGGATGGAACATTTCTGCAGAACCATGAATCTTTATACCTGAAGTTGTAGCCTGGTGAGACTGCATTCTTCTGGGACATGGCGTCCAGCCGTGTGAATGAGTAGGAGGGGTTACACTGGTCATCTGACTTGTCCAGATCACATACCCAACCGATCTTTATCCCAATCACTCCTCCCTGGAAGGAATTTCAAAATAAGAGATTCACAAGTGTCCCTGTGCTCACCTCTGTGTACTAGGAATTACATGTAGCCTTTACTATAATATCAGATCATCTTATCAGCATTTAGAGACAGAAAATGATCGGCCCTGACTTCCAAATTTCAAATAGATACAGTATATGACCTGGATCTTGACTCTACCTTGTTTGCCAGCTTGGTGAAGTTCTGCTGAGCGTAGCGGACCACGTCTCCCACTTTGAAGATGGGGCAGTAGGTGTTGTTGACCATGTCGAAGTTACACGTTTTGATGTAATCGTTAGTGATGGTAGTGAGGAAGTTCCCTCTGCACACACAGACATCGTGATGACAGTCATCATATTAACATGTCATCCTTAGTGTCAGAATCATCATATTTATAATCATAATTGTGGTACTTTGTGTAGTTGAAGGTTGGAAAGCGGATGCTATTCTTAATAAAAATGGTGAAGTTCTCCACTTCCATCATTGGCGTACTGAAAGAGAGGCAAAGGGAAGAGCATGAGGAAGAGAAAAGACAGATGGACATATAAAAGGCAATGTGTTTAAAGGGGCCATATTAGGCTATATGGGTTTCTCCCTCTCCTGTCGAGTGTTCTATCGGTTTGTGTGGATGTAAATGGTCTTCAAAGGCTAAAATCCCTGTGTCATAGGGTTGGAGGCAGAAAAAAGGCCAAAAGCTGGACAAATAAAATCTAAACTCTCCGTAACGATACATTGGACTTAACAAAGTGGATTTCTGAATTGAACTGCTCTTAATGACTTTGCTATCAGGATACCACTGTTCTCTCTATATTAGAGATGTTAAGATTCACCGATTCGCATCGGTGCACCGGCATAAACGTTCAAGATGCGAGTGCACCGGTTGAAAGAGTGCACATCGGCTACAGTTTGGGTTGAACTCGCGATGCATCGATTGCGTAGCCTCTTTGCATCGGTAAAAAACCGATTCATTCATATAAAATCCCCTCATCTTGTCAACGCTCAGCAGAGACGATCTTTGACATTTGCTTCGCCACTACGGAGAATGAGAGTCTCAGTTATCAACACACGGAAGTTGAGGAGAAAGAGAAACAGCGCACCGAAAAATACCTACA